ATATTTATTTATGAAATACGCACATACACTCTGTGTGTGTGTGTGTGTGTGTGTGTGTGTGTGTGTGTGTGTGTGTGTGTGTGTGGAGTGGTACAAGGCAGAATACCTCATCTCCCTCCCCCAGCACTGAAATGACCTGGAAACCTTATAACAAGATTCTCTCTTTCTATCTCTATTTCTACAATCTAATCATATAATTGGCGGTTAGTAAAGTCTGAAGTGAAAATAATAGTCTTTTAAATACCTGAAAATGAAAAGCAAATTAAGTTAGCACAGTGTAAGAGCCAAGTAATGATATTATGTCAGTTCTGCTTTATACAGTTTAATCTTTAAAGTGTGTGTGTACAGAAAAAGGATATGTCAGTGAGGAAACTGTCGACTTCAAGCGATTCTTATTCTCCACCCCAGCAAAAGGGGATTATTACTGGGAACAGCAGCATTTTTACTTGGAATGTACCTCAAATGCCACCACTAACATGCTAGTTAGTGTGGATTTAAAGATTTCCCTTTTGCCCATCACTCTCAAATGTCAACAACCCAAGGATGAAAATTTGCTGGCTTGGGAAATGGTTCTGTCTGAAAAGCCAATTTTAGCTCCCACGGTTTATATGCGGAAGCACAGAGACACCGGCAAAATAAAATAAGAGGAAAGCATGGGAATTGCTACATTGGATCATTCTGTTCAGGGAGAGTCTTCAGGCGCTTGCCCAGAAGATGATATAGTGCTGATGACAAAATTACTGGCTTATGATAGCAAGGCTGTGGTCATCTGCAAGATTCAATTTCTGACATAGATATTTATAGTCGTGCTGCCACAGACAAATATCCTGGACACTTCTTATGTCAGAGAAAAATGATCGGGGACTGAATGTGCAAACACATGCTACTTTATATAAAAGATGAGTGATGATCAGCAACATCTTGCACATATTCAAAGATGGGTGTGCTCAGAAATTGTAAAAAGCAACAGTATATTTAACTCTCTTTAACTTAAAGTGAAGGAAGCTTCCTTTTTAAGTCACCTTCACTATAAAAGTGGAATTGTCAAAAGCTTTAAACACCTTTGTTTGTGATTGATATAGTGCTTTCTACAGTTGAACAGATTCTCTGTTGGTCTTTTCGCTTCTGTCCTTTACACAGATCTCCAAATTTGTGCATAATGATTTGCATTCAAAAGAATCCTCTGAGCTTTATATACAAATGTTCATTAATTCAATTTCTCCCACTAGGTAGTGATTTTTTGGGGGGGAGGGGAATGCTGAAAAGTAGAAGAGAAGAAATATTTGTCTGCTTCATTAGAAATAAAGTTTTCACAGGAAAAATGAGTTTCACATTATCAAAGGGAGCTCACCAATTGCATCAGGCAACTTAGTGGAAAAGACCATGAAAACAAAGAAAAACCTTTTCAGATATTTAACCAATGTCTTAACACTCTAGACTATTTTTTTTTCTTTTTGCAATTTTCTGATATCCCTATTACAGACTTGATTTCTGTCTTTCTTTATTACAGTGCTTATTGTGTCATTATTTTATGATAATGATATTTATAAAACACAATAAACCATAATCAACATAAAAATCATAAAACCATTCAGCCATCAAACCCACAACAAGGACATTCATATTAAAAACAAATGAAAAGGAATCTCAACATGAGCCCCCAAAATTCCAAGGAACAGCAACGACCAAAGGAACAAGACGTGGGTTGCTCCCAGTTCAGCCCGGATCGGCCAAACCGGTAGTGGCAGCAGCGGGAGGCTCTACCCACCCGCCCTGATGCTTCTGCACAGAAGTGTTGCGCGCACGCACGAGCACGAGCAAACCAGTAGCGCCGGGATTTGAAAGCCACCTCGTAACACAATAGTTTCAACTGCTCTTCTTAAGGATTATTCATTTGGGCAGCCTGAAGCACTGGGGACAGACTGTTCTATATGGATGGGGCAGCAGTCTATAAGATCTGCCACATACTTTTTGGACGGAGAAGATCCAAAGCCTCACTGACTTGACAGAAAGCACAGGATAAATTCCCTTAAGAGAAAACAGCCTGTAGGGCTTGATAGATCAGATCCAGCAACCTGCCCTACCAGGTGCCCTTCAAATGCTCTGGGACAATATATTTTAAGAGCACCAATTTCTAATCAGTTGAATAACTGTGCAGAATATGCACAATTGCATTTTTAATCATTTTCCTTGCTATGCAGTATATTTTTATAATCTAGAAAATTTCAGATCCAGATTTTTTGTGTAATCATGTTTCTCCTCTCCTCCCCTCCCTCTGAAAATTTAAGCAAATGTTTATTTTTAGATAAGGTTTTCAAAATGTGATGTTTGTCAGGCCTGCAATTATATTCCTTTTAGAATTTTGGCCTGCCACACTTTCTCTTATTTCATTATGCTGTTTC